TCAAGCAAATAAGTTTTTCTACCGTAATTGTTAGGATTGCACAACAACACATACTGAATCTAGATGAACACAAAGATAGAAGAGAGAAAATGCATGACAAATACTAGTTAAAAGTTTATTTATGACTTCAGTTATGTACACTAAGAGATAATACAGACAATACATAAAGTACATTTTAAAAGCACGGCCTAATATATGGTTCAGTTTACTATATATGATTTTATTAAATATAACCATCTACTATATATATATATATAACTATCTGCCATATATATATTTACTGGCTTTTTATTATAAATAATGGTTTACTATATATTTTCCATATATAACTTTACTAGGTATAACAATAGAATAAGCTATAATAGTTTAATACATATTTTCCATATATAACTTTAGTATGTATAACAATTGAATAAGTTATAAATAGGTCACAGGCTCCATAACCAACCATTCTCCCACTTGGAGGCTGATCTAGTCAACCAAGAACTTGATTTTCAAACTACCATCAATATCTTCACTGCACTAGAGTGATGGAGACTTCGCACAACCTCATATTTTCAACATCAACACATTTTGTCAACATGTTTGTTGGATTCTTTGCACCCTCGATATTCTCTGAACACATCACTATCTTCCACTAACTTGCGAGTGAAATGGTATCGTCTTCTGATGTGTTTTGTCTTTGATAGACTGGATTTTTCACCAACTATATGACACTCTGACTATCTACATGAAGAATCTTCTCGCGCTGCTTCTTACCTAGTTCTTTATATAGTCTGTCATCAATATCATTTTCTTTCCATTTTAGCTATTGCCACGTACTCAGCCTCAGTAGATGAAGGAGCAACACAATTCTGAAGCCGATACATCCAACTCATCTCATCATCCAAGGCTTGCTCCAACTTGGTTGTATCCTCCAACTGTAGGGCATCACTAAAGGGCTCTGGTTCCTCTTCATCAGTCAACAACATATAGTGTGTAATGAAGGTACATACCTATGTAATACTTTAATAGTTATGGTTGATCCTTTGAACGCCTGCTTAGGTGTCACTTGCTCCACCTCTGGAACCTCAGCAACAGTCTTAGAAGTTTCTCGAGTATCTACTACAACATCACTATGTGAATTGTTCTATAGCTCAACTTCAACTCCCACTTGCTTTGTTGTCCGAGAACCTTTCTTGTCATTGTCCTTGTACATGACAATTTCGTCTAAAGTCACATTATAGTGTCTCAAGATTTTTTTTGTTCTTGACGTCCCAAAACTTGTACCCAAACATATTGGAATCATAGCCTATGAAGTAGCACTTTATAGCCATAACATCAAGCTTGTAACATTATGTGGATCAATAAGAACATATGGGGTACAACTAAAAGTTCTCAAGTGGGAGTACTTGAGTTCTTTTCCTATCCATACCTATTTAGGTAACTTGAACTGCAAGGGTACTGACGACCCTCTATTTATCAAGTAGGCTATTGTATTTACAACATCAGCTCAGAATGTCTTTGACAATCTAGATCGATTCCTCATACTCCTTGCCCGCTCATTCAATGTTCTGTTCATCCATTCACCAACACCATATTGTCTTGCTTTACCTAGGAACTATCCTCGTTAATCTAATTCTCTCAACTACACAAAATGCTTTGGATTTTGACTTTTCATATTCTTCTTCATTGTCAGACTTCAAGCCAGTCTGATTTTCAACTTCAGCTTTCCACTTCTTAAAGGTGGCAAACACATCTGACTTTTGTTTCAAGAAATAAATACACACCTTCCTTTTGAAATCATCGATGAAGGTGACGTAGAACTTTAATCAACCAAGTAATGAAACTGGAGATGGTCCCCGAACGTGTGTATGAATCATTTCGACCTGCACTTTCTTTGGTTCTATGGTAGCATTTGTGAAGCTGACTCGTTTCTATTTGTCATAATGTAGCATCACAAGGACTCATATCAACAAATTTCAAACCTTCTAAATCTCCCTTCTCAGCCAACATCTTCATTCATTTTACGCTCATATGTCCAAGTTTATTGTACCATAGACTTGAATTGAAAACGCTCTCAACAACAACGGTTATGTTTATACATCATGTAGTTGTGTATAAGGTTCCAAATTTTTTGCCACGTTTTACCACCATAGCACCCTTCACAATCTTCTCCAAACTCTTTCCAAACTCTATTGCATAACTTGTGCTATCCACCTGACCAATAGAGATCAGGTTCTTCTTGAGACCAGGAATATACCTTACATCCTTTACTATCCACTTATTTCCTATAAAAGTTTTTATGTAGACATTCTCATTTCCTTCAATCTACCAAGTTTAGTTGTCGGCAAGATATGCCTTCTCCAAATTTCTAGTCTACCTGGGTCATTCCATTTACTTCTTTCGCTTTGGTTAACATTGAGATACTTCTTCCCTGGGTCATTCCAGATACTTCTTCCCTGGGTCATTCCATTTACTTCTTTCGCTTTGGTTAACATTGAGATCACTGTCAGATGAATATCTCTATTGGGTCATTCCATTTACTTCTTCCCCTTTGGTCAACACTGAGAGCACTACCTGATGAATCTCAATGAATTTCCAATTTTTCGTTTGCATATAAGAACTACTTCTCGGATTTCATCAAACTTTAGTTTCTTCTCGAATTTCATGAAATTACCGAACTCAGTTGACTTATATTATAACTATACCGTCTATTATATAGAACTATCTCCTTAACCACTCGGACATGTTTCTCTGTATCCCGTCTATTATGTAGAACTATCTCAGATTTAAAATGTGTGCATAGCCCAACAGATGATTTCGGGATTTCATCAAACTTCAGTTTCTTCTCGAATTTCATGAAATTACTGAACTCAGTTGACTTATATTATAACTATACCGTCTATTATATAGAACTATCTCCTTAACCACTCGGACATGTTTCTCTCTATCCCGTCGCAAGATTCGAACCTACGCAAGCATAGCCTAACAAATTTCAAGTCTGTCTCCTTAACCACTCGAACATATTGACACCCTTATCTAAAGAATGATTCGTTCCTTTTCAACTGTTGTGAGATTTCACAATAAAGCTAAAAAAATTTCACCACTCGAACTACTAAAAATTGCAGGCATAGCCCAACAGATTTCTAGTCTATTTCCTTAACCACTCGGACATACTACACCCTTATATAAAGAATAATTCTTTCCTTGTTCAGTCGATGTGAGATAACAAACCGGACACCTTATATAAAGAATGATTCGTTCCTTGTTCAGATTTCAATAGAAGTGCACCGCTCAACAGATTTCGAGTCTGTCTCCTTAACCACTCAGACATAGTTAAGATTTCAATAGAAGTGCACAGTCCAACAGATTTCTGACATAGTTCAGATTTCAATAGAAGTGCACAGTCCAACAGATTTCTGACATAGTTCAGATTTCAATAGAAGTGCACACCCCAACAGATTTCGACTCCTTAACCACTCGGACATACTACACCCTTATATAAAGAATAGTTCTTTCCTTGTTCAGCCGATGTGAGATATCAAACCGGACACCTTATACAAAGAATGATTCGTTCCTTGTTCAGATTTCAATAGAAGTGCACCGCTCAACAGATTTCGAGTCTGTCTCCTTAACCACTCAGACATAGTTAAGATTTCAATAGAAGTGCACAGTCCAACAGATTTCTGACATAGTTCAGATTTCAATAGAAGTGCACAGCCCAACAGATTTCGACTCCTTAATCACTCGGACATACTACACCCTTATATAAAGAATAATTCTTTCCTTGTTCAGCAGATGTGAGATATCAAACCGGACACCTTATATAAAGAATGATTCGTTCCTTGTTCAGATTTCAATAGAAGTGCACCGCTCAACAGATTTCGAGTCTATCTCCTTAACCACTCGGACTGGACATACTGACACCCTTATATAAAGAAGGATTCAGCCCAACAGATTTCGAGTCTATCTCCTTAACCACTCGGACTGGACATACTGACACCCTTATATAAAGAAGGATTCTTTCCTTGTTCAAGGAATGTATGATTTCACAATAGAACTAAACAAAACTCGTCAACAGCAGGATTCGAACTTACGCAGGCATAGCCCAACAGATTTCGAGTCTATCTCCTTAACCACTCGGACATACTGACACCCTTATTTAAATAAAGAATGATTCTTTTGTTGTTCACAATTCATGAACAGCACGTTCGGATTTAGCCACTTGGACATATTGACACCCTTATTTAAATAAAGAATGATTCTTTCGGTATGATTTCACCACTCGAACTACTAAACAGATTTCTAGTCTATCTCCTTAACCACTTGGACATATTGCACCCTTATATAAAGAAAAATTCTTTCCTTGGTTCAGATTTCAATAGAAGTGCACATCGGACATAGTTCAGATTTCGAGTTTGTCTCCTTAACCACTCGGACATATTGACACCCTTATTTAAATAAAGAATGATTCTTTCGTTGTTCAAGGGTTGTATGATTTCACAATAGAACTAAACAAAACTCGTCAACAATAGGATTCGAACCTACGCAGGCATAGCCCAACAGATTTCGAGTCTGTCTCCTTAACCACTTGGACATATTGACACCCTTATTTAAATAAAGAATGATTCTTTTGTTGTTCACAATTCATCAACAGCACGTTCGGATTTGACCACTCGGACTAGACATATTGACACTCTTATATAAAGAATGATTCTTTCCTTGTTCAAGGAATGTATGATTTCACAATAGAACTAAACAAAACTCGTCAACAGTAGGATTCGAACCTACGCAGGCATAGCCCAACAGATTTCGAGTCTGTCTCCTTAACCACTCGGACATATTGACACCCTTACTTAAATAAAGAATGATTCTTATGTTGTTCACAATTCATCAACAGCACGTTTGGATTTGAACGTGCGGCATAGGAGTGGACATATTGACACCCTTATATAAAGAAGAATGATTCGTTCCTTGTTCAAGGGATGTATGATTTCACAATAGAACTAAACAAAACTCGTCAACAACAGGATTTGAACCTACGCAAGCATAGCCCAACAGATTTTGAGTCTGTCTCCTTAACCACTCGGACATATTGACACCCTTATATAAAGAATTATTCGTTCCTTATTCAACCGATGTGTGATTTCACAATAAAGCTAAAAAATTCGTCGATTCGAACATGGTAGGCATAGCCCAACAGATTTACAGTCTGTCTCCTTAACGACTCAGACATATTAACACCCCTTATATAAGGGATAAGGAAACATTAACACTCGTTAATATAAGGAATGACACCCCTGATACCTTAACCACTCAAGAATGGAATGAAACCACTTAAACCACTCAGACATATTAACACCCCTTATATAAGGGATAAGGAAACATTAACACTCGTTAATATAAGGAATGACACCCCTGATACCTTAACCACTCAAGAATGGAATGAAACCACTTAAATCACTCAGACATATTAACACCCCTGATACCTTAACCACTCAAGAATGGAATGAAACCGCTTAAACCACTCAGACATATTAACACCCCTTATATAAGGGATAAGGAAACATTAACACTCGTTAATATAAGGAATGACACCTCTGATACCTTAACCACTCAAGAATGGAATGAAACCACTTAGACATATTGACAGCAGGATTCGAACCTACGCAGGCATAGCCCAACAAATTTCGAGTCTATCTCCTTAACCACTCGAACATATTGACACCTATGCAGGCATAGCCCAACAGATTTCGAGTCTGTTTTCTTAACCACTCGAACATATTGACACCCTTATATGAACGATTCGTTCCTTGTTCAACCGATGTCAGATTTCATAATAAAGCTAAAAATTCGTCAACAAGCAAGGATAGCCCAACAGATTTCAAGTCTGTCTCCTTAACCACTCGGACATATTGACACCATTATATAAATAATTATTCGTTCCTTGTTCAACCGATATCTGATTTCACAATAAAGCTAAAAAATTCATCGATTCGAACCTAAGCAGGCATAGTCCAACAGATTTCATGTTTGCCTCCTTAACCATTCAAGCATTTTAACACCCCTTACATAAGGAATGATTCATTCCTTGTTCAACCGATTTGAGATTTCACAATAAAGCTAAAAATTCGTCGCAGGATTCAAACCTGATTTCAAGTCTAGACATATTAACACCCCTTATATAAGGAATGATGCACAGGCTATCCTTATATAAGGAATGATTCAACAATAGAATTCGAACCTGTGTTGTCTCCTTAACCACTCGAACACATTAACACCCCTTATGTAAGGAATGATTCGTTTCCCTTAACCACTTGGACATATTGATTTCAAGTATATAAGGAATGATGCGCAAGCTATCCTTATATAAGAAATGATTCAACAACAGAATTCGAACCTGCGCTGTCTCTTTAAGCACTCAAACATATTGACACCCCGCAGGCTATCCTTATATAAGGAATGATTCAACAACAGAATTCGAACCTGCACTGTCTCTGTAAGCACTCTAACATATTGACACCCCTTATATAAGGAATGATTTGTTTCCTATCCAACCGATGTGGGATTTAAGACTAAAGCTAAAAAGTTGTGAACAACAGGATTCAAACCTATGTGGGCAAAGTCTAATAGATTTTTAGTATGTCTCCTTAACCACTCAGACATGTTGACACCCCATATATAAGGAATGATTCATTTCTTATTCAACTAATGATGTCGGATCTCACAACGGTTGGGTTTTATGTCCAAAAACTCATAGTTTGTAAACAAAAACATATTCTATTTTCAATAAAGTTATTATTGTTGTTTATTCAGTAAAGATTGTTATTGAATAAAGTGAACTTTACGATCATTAATCTAAATCCAATAGACTAAGAACACTCTGGCTATGGTATGGTTACTTGAACTATATGTAGAGACATAAGAGTGGATCAAGTTCAAGTATATAGTCAAAATGATCTATAGTATAAGGATAACGCTGAGTACCTTATTCTGGGGACACTATGGATGCGGCCCACTTTTGTATATGATATAAACAATGTGATCACTAAATTGTACATGTGGAGACATGTGAGTGGGGGTGTCCTATGCAATGAGTATTACATAAGATCGGACCATGAAGAAAACCACTCTCACTTTATAATGTTGTTTACTGTTGAGACTGATTTTCTTTTCATTCGATGACTTAGGTAACTCGATCTTAATCCTGAGCGAACCATGAACTCCTGTTTATTCGAAATTATCCTTAGATTTATATGGGTGAGAGTGGCTCGAGTTTGCCGACTCAATAGGCCTCCCATTTCAGGGATAAGACTGGGTGAATAGCTGGGGACGTGGGGTGCAAGATGGAATTTGCTCCTACCCACTTTTAGGGATAGAAGAGGGGTAGTTCCCTTAAGCACTGACTCCAAGTCTTGAACAAAGGGCCCCACCCTCTCATTGGCTTGAGAGGGATTCAGTTTACTTGTTGGACCACAAACCAATTGTTCGTAAGAGGATCAGTGGAACATAAGGAACAAGAAGTAACTTCAGGGGTAAAACGGTAAATTGACCCAACTCTAGCTACGAACAACCTGTGAAGGATCGACTTACTAATCATAATTATATCAAATGGACATAAATATATCTATAGTGAGGGGAGTGCAACTACTAGGCTATAGTGGAGTGTCCTAGTAGTTAACGAATGTTGGTTAACAAGGTTAATGAGTTTAACTGGTTAATCTTGGATCGTTGGAGCCCATGATCTATAGGTCCATTAGGTCCCTCTGCTAGCTCATATCGGACTAAACCATAGAACAGTATGACGAGTGAGTTCAAAGTGTTCGAATTCAAATTAGGGAATATGCGCTACATATATACGATATATTTAACAGCATTTTTGTTTTATTTACTAATTAAACAAAAAGAGAGAATCTAAGATATTTAAATAAGATTTAAATATCTTAATCAAATATGTGTCGAAATTGATTGGGATTGGCATTTGAATTAATATTAAATATTAATTAAATAGTTTAATTAATCATTTAATATTACTTTAATTTGAAATTAATTATTCAAATTAATTGTTGAATTAAAATGAAGAAAGTCAAAATGTTAACTTCATTTAATGGAAAAATCCATGTCAGTGGAATTTTGAGGTGTCAAAATTTGGTTTAACCAAACTTGCATGCTTGCCAAATAAACCCCACAAGTTTGAGTGGAATCTTGAGTGTCAAAATTTGGTGATCTCAAATTTGCATGAACATGAAAACATAACTCTATAAATAGAGTGATCATGGTACAAAATCCCTCCCAAGTTTAGTGAAAAACCTTAGAAAAACCTCTCACAAACATTCTCTTCATATATACAAAATCCCTCCCAAGTTTAGTCACTCACCGGATTCCACAATCCCGTTCTAAGGCCGGAGGTTAGTGGAGAAGACACTAGTGGTGGTTCGAAATCGGTTCGTGAGTTAAAAAGAATTTGAACTACAAAAGGTTAGTATTCAAACTCATTAAGTTTTAATACTTATGAACATGCTAGTTATTTACTATAATTGATGTTCTAAAAGTTCCTAAGATCCAAATTGCTTCCGCATGTGTTATATTAACACCATCAACAACAAAGCTAAAAAGTCGCCAATAGCAGAATTTCTCTTTAACCACTCGGACATATTGACACCCCTTCTCAACAAAGTTAAAAAGTCACCACCACTCAGACATATTGACACCCCTTCTTAACAAAGCTAAAAAGTTGCCAATAGCAGAATTCCTCGTCAACCACTCGGAGATTCATTCCCTATCCAAAGTTAAAAATGTCATTTCGTTCGAGATGTGGGATTTCACAATAAAGCTAAATAAAGTCATCACAACAAGATTTGAACCTGTGCAAGCAAAACCCAACAAATTTCAAGTCTGTCTCCTTAACAACTCAAAGATATTGACACACTTATATAAGAAAAGATTCATTCTCTATCCCACCGATGTGGGATCTCACAATAAAGCTAAAAAGTCATCAATAGAAAAATTCCTCCTTAACCTCTCGGATATAATTATATAAGGAATTATTTGTTCCCTATCCAACCAATGTGAGAAAAATTCCCCTTGAACCACTCGAACATAATTATATAAAGAATGATTCGTTTCCTGCCCAACCGATGTGAGATTTCACAATAAAGCTCAAAAGTTGAATTTCATAGGATTCAATAACACAATAGTAATTTCATGAAAGAATCAAGAGAAGAAAGGAAAGAAAACACAGCTTATAAATAGTGATTATCGAAAGCAACAACTAGATGTTCTTTACTCTTTAGGCTTAGCTACCGTTGGTTATTCTTTTGCAAGTGATAAACTAATAGGAGAGTAAGTAAGCCCTAGGAACCCCAACTTCTCAACCGTAAATGGGTTACAATTTCAAAGGCAAACAGACTATTTTTAAAGACTTTTCTAAGGAAGTTGTAGATTAAACACTCTTGACAATATAATTAACATCCAAATTCTTGAATTGTTTAATGTCGTAGCCTTGTCTTTGGAACTTTTTGATGAATTAGCTTTGTTAAACGAAAAATAGATCACATCTGTATATATTAAGATAATCTAGGATTTACTAGTTTGTTACCAAATCTATGATTTGAAGGGTTTGTTACCAAATCTATGATTTCATGGTTTGCTATTAAATCATATATTTGGAATGTAATCTTCATTATACACATCTATAAATACATGAGGTCGTGACCCATATAGGTCATCGTGCCATTCAATCTAACATGGTATCAGAGTCAAGGTTTATTTTTTAAATGTCTACCATGTCTTCTTCCTCCTCTCCATCCACCATCTCCAACACCGTCACAACTACCATGGCGACTTTTGGCTCAATCCCTCTACACCATGCTGTCACAATTCGTCTAACCAAAAACAACTTCATCACATGGCGTGCCCAGCTCCTCCCCTACCTACGGAGTACGAAGCTTATGGGCTACCTCGATGGCACCAATGCCGCACCTACCTAGCTGGTCCCTTCTTAAACTGCTGCTGGTGCTGAGCTGGTCTCTAATCTGGCCTATAATCAATGGTATGATCAGGATCAACAGGTCCTTAGCGGTCTTCTCTCCTCCATGTCTGAGGAGATTCTTCATGATGTGGTTGCCGCTACTACATCCAAGGAGGCGTGGGATACCCTGCAGCGGATGTTTTCATCATCAACTCGTGCTCGCACTACTCAGATTCGTGTTGAGCTCGCCACGTCCAAGAAACGAGATCAATCTGCTGCAAATTATTTTTGCAAGATCAAAGGGCTAGCCACCGAGCTGGCCGCCGTCGGCTCTGCCTTGCAGGATGATGATGTGATCACGTATCTTCTCGCTGGTCTTAGACCTGACTATGATCCCTTCGTCACCTCAATGACTACCATGAGTGAAGCCCTCACGCTTGATGACGTGTTTGCACATCTAATGGCGTATGAAGCTCGCCAACTACAACACTAGGCTGAACTTCAGTTAAATCCGGGATCTTCGGCCAATTATACTGGTCGTGCTGAACTTCAGTTAAATCTTGGATCTTCTGCCAATTATGCTAGTCGTGGTGGTCAGCAGAAGAATCGTGGGCGTAGGGTTCGTGGTCGTGGTCGTGCTCAAGGTTATGCACCCTCTCGTCCTACTGGTGATCGCCGTGGCCCTTCTGCCTGTTCTTCCTGCCAGATCTGCGGCAAAGTGGGGCATACTGCTATCCACTGCTGGCATAGGATGGATGAGTCCTATCAAGATGAACCTTCTTCTGCTCCTCCTACGGCACAGGCGGCTACTTCCTCTTACAAGAATGACCCAAATTGGTACAGGGACATAGGCGCTACGGACCATATCACTAGTGATCTGGATCGTCTTGCTGTGCGTGAACGTTATCATGGAGGTGAACAAGTTCAAGTCGGCAATGGAGCAGGTTTGCGTGTTTTGCATACTGGTCATTCTCTAATTAATACTGCTACTCGTCCTCTTGCATTGCGTAATATTTTGCATGTGCCTGAAATTTCCAAACATCTTCTTTCCATTCATAAATTTTCTCGTGATAATGACGTATTTTTTGAATTCCATCCTTGGCACTTTTCTATAAAGGATCGACAGTCGGGGAAAAGTCTCCTAAATGAAAGGTGTGAATCTGGTCTTTATCCTATTAAGCCATCCGATGTCGATAATCTCAAGCACGCCTTGGTGAGTAGATCTACTACTCACGCCCAATGGCATGCACGTTTTGAACATCCTTCATCTCAAGTAGTAAAATCAATTTTGCGTCTCAATAATATTTCGTGTGCTAGTGAGTCATCTTTATCAGTTTGTAATGCATGTCAGTTAGCAAAAAGTCATCAATTACCATATACTAGTTCTTCCCATAGGTCTTCATCACCTTTGGAACTTATTTTTTCGGATGTTTGGGGCCCTGCACCTCCATATGTTGGGGGTTTTGAATATTATATTAGTTTCATTGATGATTTCAGTAAATTTTCGTGGATCTATTTGATGCATGATCGTACAGAAGCTCCTCGTATATTTTTGCAATTCCAAGCTCATGTTGAGCGCCTCCTAGATACTAAAATCAAGTGGGTCCAATCTGATTGGGGTGGGGAATATCAGAAAATTCATAACACATTTTTTCGTTCCCTTGAAATTGGTCATCGTGTTTCGTGCCCTCACACACATCAACAAAATGGGTCTGCTGAACGCAAGCACCGTCATATTGTTGAAACTGGCCTAGCCCTTCTAGCTCATGCTCATGTACCTATTAAATTTTGGGACGACGCGTTTATTACAGCCACATATCTCATCAATCGTCTTCCTACTCGTGTCATCGATAAAAAATGCCCTTAGAGCTTCTTTTTCATATCCCACCAAATTACTCCTTATTAAAAAATTTTGGGTGTGCTTATTGGCCTCATCTTCGTCCTTATAACAAACAAAAGCTCTCTTTTTTATCAAAGGAATGTGTCTTTCTAGGCTATAGTTCTTTATATAAAGGGTATAAGTGTCTTGACACCGATTCTAGTCGTGTCTATATGTCTAGAGATGTCATATTTGATGAAAATGTTTTTCCATTCATGAGAGCCCCACCAAATTCTTCTCCAATCATGCAGTCGACGCATAATGCCCCTGATTTGTGCACCTTGCATTTGGGTAATAGCAGTACTAATTTGGAGAATGATCACATGCATATGCCTGGGCCTATTAACTCTTTGGATGTAGAAAATTTGATGTCTACATCAGATTGGAATTGCTGCAGCAATCCTCCACGTCGCTGCCATGCGAATCAGCGTTGGTTGTTCCGCCACTGATTGAGGCCTCGACTCCTCCGCCAGCAGATGATATTGCGCAATGCCCAGTCGAATCCTCGACTGCTGGTCAACCAACTGTTGTAGCATCGGTTGCTCCCCTCGCAACGGCTGATACGGCTGTCCCCTCAAATGTGGATCCTGCACCTACTACTCATCCGTATGGTACTCGATTGAAGCACAATATCAAGAAACCCAAGGTGCGTACAGATGGAACAGTAACAAATCTTGTAGCTCGGTCTTCTGCCTCTGAACCTACTTCACATATTACTGCTATGGAGCATCCTCTATGGCGTCAGGCAATGAACGATGAATTTCAGGCACTTCAAAAAAATAAGACATGGCACTTAGTTCCTCCTCGTGCTGGTCTTAACGTTATTGATTGCAAATGGGTTTTCAAACTCAAGCAAAAGCCAGATGGCTCTATTGATCGCTACAAAGCACGCCTGGTTGCTAAAGGTTTTAAACAGCAGTATGGCATTGATTATGATGATACCTTTAGTCCAGTTGTTAAGCCCGCTACCATTCGGCTCTTATTATCTCTTGCTATTTCTCGTGGTTGGGCTATTTGGCAGATTGATATTCATGGCTTTCTTAATGAAGATGTTTATATGAAGCAGCCCCCTGGATTTGTGGATTCTCAACACCCTGGTTATCTCCGCAAGCTGGATAAGTCGCTTTATGGCCTTAAACAATCTCCGCGTGCCTGGTTTTCTCGCCTTAGCTCCAAACTATTACAGCTGGATTTTACACCTTCAAAGGCTGATGTCTCTCTTTTCATTTTTAACAAGACGGGCATTCAGATGTATATCCTCATCTACATTGATGACGTTATTATCATCAGCTCATCTTCTACGGCTACTGAGAAACTTCTTACACAGCTTCAGGATGATTTTGCCGTCAAGGATCTTGGTATTTTGAGTTATTTTCTTGGGATTGAGGTCCGCCATACTTCCCGTGGACTTATTCTGACACAACATAAATACATTCGAGATTTATTAGCCAGAACCAATATGCTCACCTCCAAAGGTGTGCCCACACCTATGCTTCCCAGTGAGAAGTTGTTATTGAATGGTGGTGAAAAGCTCTCACCTGAGGATACTACTCGCTATCGAAGTGTCGTTGGTGCTCTCCAATATTTGTCTCTGATATGTCCTGATATATCCTTTTGTGTCAACAGAGTGTGTCAGTTCATGTCCTCTCCGACTTCTATACATTGGGCGGCAGTCAAACGAATTCTCCGTTATCTACATGACACTATTGATATGGGTTTATGTCTTACAAAGTCCAGCACTGATTTGTTGAGTGCCTTTTCAGATGCTGATTGGGCTGGGAATCCTAATGATCGTCGAAGCACTGGAGGCTATGTAATCTTCTTTGGTGGCAATCTTATCTCTTGGAGTTCGAGGAAACAATCGACAGTTTCTCGTTCTAGTACGGAAGCCGAATATAAGGCAGTTGCTGATGCCACTACCGAATTAATTTGGATCCAAGTCCTCTTGCGTGAGCTCGGGATCTCGCAAGCGCGAGCGCCTAGCCTATGGTGTGACAACATTGATGCCACCTACCTATCCGCCAATCCAATCTTTCATCGACGGATGAAGCATGTTGAGGTTGATTATCACTTTGTTCGTGAACGAGTATCGACTCGTCAGCTTGATGTTCGACTCATATCTTCCAAGGATCAGCTCGCCGATATCATGACAAAGCCACTGCCAGCTCCTTCTTTTAGCTATTTTAGGCGCAATCTGAACTTAGTAGTATATTGTCCAGATTGAGGGGGGTGTTAAACGTAAAATAGATCATATCTGTATATACTAAGATAATCTAGGATTTATTAGTTTGTTGCCAAATCTATGATTTCATGGTTTGTTATCAAATCATAGATTTGGAATGTAATCTTCATTATACACATCTATAAATACATGAGGTCGTGACCCATATAGGTCATCGTGCCATTCAATCTAACAAGCTTATGTCTCTTTGATGAAAGACCCTTAGTAAGTTCTTCCTATGTTGTACACGATGAAGTCATAAGAAAAAGGGAAAATCGTTGGTGGAATATGAAAGGTCTTTCATTCTTGTGATTGCGTCGCCTTACTTTGTGTCATTTACTTTAATTGTGGCTACCAAGCACCATGTGAGGAACATGACATGATGTTAAATTGATGAGATTCCAATAAGTAAGTTAGAATAGAAGGGATGGAGGAAGACAAGGTAGTTGTAACATCCAAGTAAGTTAAGGCACTCAGACAAAGTGAAAGATCAAAAAGAAGAATTAAGAGATCCAAAGATGGTTCAAAGAAGATATTTTCAACCCTTTACTAAGGTTTCATAAGGATCCAAAAACATTGGGAAAAAAAAATAATAAGCATAAAGATAATTGTTTAAGAAAAATAAAATGTTAAAAGAAAAATACTAAAATTGTACTAAGTTAAAATATAATTATGAAAATGCTCTTAACATATTCAATTTTAGAATTGATAGGCAGCACAAAATTGCTCATATTATAAGATCTAACTATTGGATTGAGCTGAAATTTGAATATGTTCAAGAAGGCTCGAGATTCCTTAGATCCAACAACTAATATTTAAAATAAAGGTAGGTAGCACCATCATATGAGTAGATATTTTCGACAGACAGTTCAGAAACTTTGAGTTAAAATTTAGTACGACTCTAGAATGATCAAAGACAATGCAAGCTTCACCTATAAATAAGAAGTTGTGGGCAATGTTTTGGGACAAGAATCATGTTTTGAGAGTTCCTAGAACTCGAGATTCAAGCTCTTTTTTTTTTCTTCTCGAATTTCTTCTGAATTCGAGGGGTATGATACACTATTTCCTCTCAAACCAATTTCTACATCTTCTAAAATGAGTTTTCTAACAAGTTTCATGAAGGATTTTCAAATTAAAAGTGGGCAGAGTATGCAATGAGAACCTACAAATAGATTGCTTACCGGTTGTATTTATATACTCATCCTTCAGACAATTTTTTCTTCGAGGTGTATGATGTTGTTGGATGAGGCGAGAAGTACTTGAGAGCTAGGTAGGCACAGAAGCGTGTTGACCCAAGGTGCATGTCTTGTCCATTTATTTCTGTAGTCTGTTATATCATATACATCTTTTGTATCTCTGTGCCGTTTGTTCTTTTAGGAACAAATTGAACACATATATTACATTAATTTTCGTTGTATAATTGAATGTTTTAAAATCGCGCAAAATTTTATGGTAGTTTTCTATCCTATTCTCATACATTCATGTTGCGTTGCATAGTTCATTAATCATGTCATGTTTAGCCTTTACTTTATTAGCCTATTAGAGAAAATAGACTAGATTGAACTGGTAGCATACCGATTAGCATTATCCTCAATCCCCTCAAGAGTTCATGATGTGTTCCATGTTGCACAAGTATATAACAAACAATACACACGTGATTGACTAGGAGACGCTCTGATTGGAGGAAAGATTAATCTATGTGGAGAAATGTCACAACCCAATTTTTTAGGCTTCAAAACTACAACAGTGATAAAAAGACAAAGACCAGAAGAAAGTATAAGATAAAGTAAAATAAAATAAAAGATAAATGAGGTAGAATTTAAATCAAAATAGACAAACAACCCCACAATTAAATAAAAAGGAATCTCATTAGAGGATGGTGCTATTCAAATTTATTTTCAATAGAGAAATGAGTTTGAGATACAATTACAAATGACTCAAAACATAAAGATAGACCGATTCTCCAGAATTACCCACTCTGTGACCGCACAACTCTCGAACACCCCTCAACCTCAACAGATAACATGTGAACACTTAAAAAAGAATGGATAAATGGTGAGTATAAAAATACTCAGTAAACATCCTACTTGTTGGGTCTCAACCCATGCTTAATCTAGCAGGTATGCACAAGTTTTACTCTGAGCTCTAGAATTTTAAGGCCTAGTCTCTACTGCTATATAGGCATCTGGGGCTGTCTTGAAGTTTCAAGTGTTACTTAAGTTGCTCAGGAACCAACTTTAGGTTCACAGGAGATGGTTCACCCTTTCCTGGCATCGTGGATATGTCAAGCGACAAGTCTCTTTAGGGTGAACTCTTCTGTTCTTTGACTTAAAGTAGCTTGCTTTGCCTGTGTAGTGTAAAACCGATGACTTGGGTTGAGGCATGACGTCGTAGAATTCTCTCTCTTGTGTGGTAGTATGATGTGTACTTGTCTACTCATCGTTCATGGGAGGTTGGCGGGTGAACTTTCCTTCATCATTATATATGTCACCTATGGTTGGGCTGGGGGTACTAAGATTACCCACATGATTCCATTGCCAATCTCAAGATAGATCTGTTAGGTAGGATAATCCAATTTAACTATCAGGTCACACAACCCTAATTAGCCCATGGCTGACTCGGTAGTACGGGTATCATAGTAAAAACATGAAAATATGGGTATAAGAGGGGAAAGGGTAGCGGAGACTTTTATTTCATCATTAAACTGGTGACACCGTACATACTTGGAGCTCTACTTGGTTCTTAAGGGCATCTAGGCAGTTTAAACCTTGTCTCTCTTTTCTGGGACGACTATGACTAACTCCTTGAACTAATCTACTCTCCAGGTACACACAGGTCTATTCCTGTGATCACCCGCTCATGATCCTAGGGTATAGGATCTACCGAAAATGTACTGACTTAGGGCAACTTGCAATCACTTTAGCTTTAGTGCCCTAATCTTAGCTTGGTTCTCTTGTGTATGCTTCGCTAGGGAGATTATCCTGTCGATCACCTAGAGCATGGTATACATAATCTAAACATTTGTGCAAGCTTACAAGGGAGATATCCTATCAATCACATAAATCACTAAAAACATAAACTAAAACATTCATGCAAATAAACAAGCTCAATGATGAGATTATAACGATCAATCACATGGAGCATAGATGACAATAGTCCATCCTAGAAAAAAATTTAAAGTACAATTCATCACAAATATTATCATAGAAGTATTTTGATACTTTCTTACATCTTATATAGCTTACTCATCCATATTGCCCAACTTGTATTATAGTCCTGAAAACAACATGAATAAAAAAATCTTATCCTAGGGGTATAACGATAATATTTCATATTATACATACAATGCATTCTTATAAAAAAATTGCTCATTTGAAGTCTTGAACATGCATTTTCTAGCCATTTAAGATAAGAAAGGCTTGCATGCTAGCACGTCCTAGTGATCCCTACAATTATTACTTGTCTAAAGTTTTGTTCGTTACTTACATGGATGATGTATGCCTTCTTGAACTAGTTTTTCTGCGTGTTAGAGGCTCTAACTTTTCTAAAATTTCTCTAGTGGGTCTTGATCCAAGTATAATTAGGGCTAGATCAAAATCGAGACAAAGAAAGTAATGTTATAAGATATGGGAAATTCTCAACTTTCAACCAAAATTTTCTTCGTTTCCACTACAAATTTAACTAAATTTCTTAAATAGATTCTAGAATAAGAGAAAATGTATGCACCATTTAAATTCCTTTTCCATTTCCGCAATTAGCTTTAGTGGGGAGGCTTTCATAATTAATGGTCTAATTTTCTTCCATAAATAGCAGTGAAGATGAGTTGATTGGAACAAAAACCACTTAAAACCATCAACTAACCGGAGAAAAAATAGGTTTTGACTCTTCAATTGCAAACCTTTATTTAATTATTTTCCTTGGAGTTGAAGCCCCATGACTAAAATTTTCTCAATCAAACCATCAAGAAATCGAGTAGAAAAGCCTTTTGTGTATCAACTAATTTTGAGAAAAAAATCTACTAGGGAAATGAGTTTTATATTCCTTTTTTCTTGCCAATCTTTTCTCTCTTGAAACAAGTTATTCATTCAAAATCCTCTACCTACATGTTGAAACTCACCCAAACTTATACTAAGTAAGAATTATGGAGAAAATTATGGTAAACAACTAGATTTCTTTATCCTCCATTCTATTATTGCCTCCTCGTACGCGTCACCTCCTACCCTTCTCTTTAAAGGTACGTTATACACCTCCTCTAATTCATAGTCATGTCCCTCCTCCCAAGCATTCTCTAAGTAATCGACATGTCACATCCTCTTAGTCACCTTCATATTATCTCCTTCTCTGAATCACGCACCAACCTCCTACAAGTCACATTCATGTCACAACATCAACCTCTTTAAGTCATAGTCATGTTGGATCCAACCCTCCTCCAAGTCACCATCATATCTGTTTCTCCTAGTTGACTCCATGTGTCGTCCACCAAGTTGCCACATCAACCATTTTAAGTTAGAACCATGTCTCATCTTCAATCCTCCTCCAAGTAACTGACATATAACCCCTCCAAGCCTCTTAGTCATTACCATGTTGCCTCTCCAAGTCACCTCTATGTCGCCCCCTTTATTGGGTTTTATGTCCTAAAACTCATAGTTTGTAAACAAAAACATATTCTATTTTCAATAAAGTTATTGTTGTTGTTTATTCAGTAAACATTGTATTGAATAAAGTGAACTTTACGATCATTAATCTAAATCCAATAAACTAAAAACACTTTGGCTATAGTATGATTACTTGAACTATATGTAGAGACATAAGAGTGGATCAAGTTCAAGTATTTGACCTATAGTATAAGGATAAGGCTGAGTACCTTATTCTGGGGACACTATGGATGCGGCCCACTTTTGTATATGATATAAAAAATGTGATTACTAAATTGTACATGGGGAGACATGTGAGTTGGGGCGTCCTATGCAATGAATATTGCATAAGATCGGACCATGAAGAAAACCATTCTCACTTTATAATGTCGTTTACTGTTGAGACTGATTTTCTTTTCATTCGATAACCTAGGTAACTCGATCTTAATCCTGAGCGAACCATGAACTCCTGTTTATTCGAAATTATCTTTAGATTTGCATGGGTGAGAGTGGCTCAAGTTTGCCAACTCAATAGGTCTCCCATTACAGAGGTAAGACTAGGTGAATAGCTGGGGACGTAGGGTGCAAGATGGAATTCGCTCCTATCCACTTTTAGGGATAGAAGAGAGGTAGTTCCCTTAAGTACTGACTCCAGGTCTTGAACAAGAGGCCCCACCAACTTATTGGCCTAAGAAGGATTCAGTTTACTGATTGAACCACAAATCAATTGTTCATTAGAGGATCAGTGAGACATAAGAAACAAGAAGTAACTTCAGGGGTAAAATGGTAAATTGACCCAGCTCTAGTTACGAACAACCTGTGAAGGATCGACTTACTAATCATGGTTAATGAGTTTAACCGATTAATCTTGGATCGTTGGAGCCCATAATCTATAGGTCCATTAGGTCCCTCTGCTAGCTCATATCGGACTAAACCATAGAACAGTGTGACGAGTGAGTTCGAAATGTTCGAATTCAAATTAGGGAATATGCGTTACATATATACGATATATTTAACCGCATTTTTGTTTTATTTACGAATTAAACAAAAAGAGAGAATCTGAGATATTTAAATAAGATTTAAATATCTTAATCAATTATGTGTCGGAATTGATTGGGATTGGCATTTGAATTAATATTAAATATTAATTAAATAGTTTAATTAATCATTTAATGTTACTTTAATTTGAAATTCATTATTCAAATTAATTGTTGAATTAAAATGAAGAAAGTCAAAATATTGACTTCATTTAATGGAAAAATCCATGTTAGTGGAATTTTGAGGTGTCAAAATTTGGTTTAACCAAACTTGCATGCTTGCCAAATAAACCCCACAAGTTTGAGTGGAATTTTGAGTGTCAAAATTTGGTTAACTCAAACATGCATGCTTGCCACATAATCCCAAACATTTGAGTGGAATTTTTAAGTGTCAAAATTTGGTGATCTCAAATTTGCATGAACATGCAAACATGACTCTTTAAATAGAGTGATCATGGTACATGGAAGGTCTTCTTCTTCTTGGTGAAAAACCTTGAGAAAAACCTTGAGAAAAACCTCTCACAAACACTCTCTTCACATATACAAAATCCCTTCCAAGTTTAGTCACTCAGTGGATTCCACAATCTCGTTCTAAGGTCGGAGGATAGTGGAGAAGACACTAGTGGTGGTTCGAAACCGGTTCGTGAGGCAAAAGAAGTTTGAACTACAAAAGGTTAGTATTTAAACTCCTTAAGTTTTAATATTTATGAACATGCTAGTTATTTACTATAATTGATGTTCTAAAAATGCCTAAGATCCAAATTCTTCCGCATGTTTTATATTAACACCATCAATTGGTATCAGAGCAAGTTTTAGGCACTTTATTTACATTAATTTGATCATGGTGGGTACCATTTCATGAATGAAATTTTGTGGTTGCTAAAGATGATGGTTTTGGTTTTGGCATTTTTTTATGCTTCCATTTGATACAATTATTGTAATAAGCCTAATATGTATTGGCTTTAATGAATGATGAAAGGTCTGTAATTTCTATGGAGTCATTAGAGTCCATTTTAGGTTGTAATTGATCGAAAATGGAAGAGATAGCAAGCTGAACCGAAGAAGAAGATGGAAGAGGTGGTTCGGGTGTTTTTCCTACCTTTGGGGTCCGGTTCAATGTTTTTAAGGGTTGGTTCGCCCAGTTCGTGGACCTCGGGAGCGGTTCAAGTTATTTTAATTATTAATGTAATAATTTAGTTAATTTCTTGTTTCAAAATGCCAAAACCAATCCACTTTAGCATGTTTAATTAATTATGCATTATGAATGTATGTTTTAATTAAATAGAAAATGTATATGCATAAAGTATGTCATATAGATTTAAAATCCCACCATAGGCTAAGCATGTTTCATGCATTCCAAGTATGTTATAAGTGTTATAATGTATAGTATGCATGTTTAGGGTTCCATGAGTGATAGATATAAATTGTTATATTATTGCATGGAATGGATGATTATATAATTGTTATATAAAGCATGTTAGATGCATGTTATAGGTTATTTTTAACGTCATAAAACGAGATAGACGTTAAAATCTATAATAAAGATAAGTGCATGCTCACTTAGGGTTAAGAACCGAGCACGATCAATTTTAATAGTTCAAATAGGTCGATGTCTTATAAAATTGCGGTTACGAGAAAGCTCACTTGGCACGATCTTGTCTAAGGCTGGAGGTACTTAAGTTGACGGTTTACGGAACACCTACTACCTGGAGATCGGACCAGTACTTGAGCTTAGTTAGCCCAGTTTTATGAGCATGCTTAAGTGATGTAAGATTTAGAAAAATCACCTAGACTTAAGTTATATTAAATTAGCCGGAATATACTTAAGTAATGAGTATACCCAACCATCTAAAATACTTAGTGGGAGGAAAAAGATGTATAAAAATACATTGTTTTCTTTTCACGCTCTCTGTAAAATTCACACAGTGAGATTCATGCTCGGCTCATGTCGCCCTGGGAGCGTCCTTCATTCGGAAGGTATTTGCATGAGTCAATAACAAGGTGAATAGAGAGTATTTATAGTAAGTGGGAGAAGGAAGTATATCAAATACCTCCTATGGTCTCCACCACTAGGTTGCATCGTGAGATTCCCATGTTCCACCTGCATGTTGCCCTAGAGCAACTACCTATTCGGAGGGTCGTAACATGGGAGTTGAAACAACGCAAACTCCAGAAATGGATAGGATTTCTTAGGTCCATTCCCAACTTTGGCTTTTTCATTCGATAGCATTGTTGGGACCGATCTATGAGGTCTGAAAATGGCGGGTCATACGTACAAAGAAATACTAAGAGTTGGTATATTCTTGACCAAAACAACGATAACTAAGAATACTATAGGAACAAGAGTTATTCTGGGATTAGTGTTTAAGTCAAGAATGTCTTGGTTTAGTGAATGAGTGATTGACTGCCCCTCGGTAGCAGTTGCTCTAACTCACTAAAGTATCGTTGCAAATTAATAATGATTTGGGTACATTATTACATTTGTTAAAATTGATTGGATTAAACAGGATTAAGTCAAATCACTAATAGAATTTTCTTTATATCACAGCATGACAAACTCAATAGTACAATTACTCGCTTCTGAGAAATTAAACGGCGACAACTACACAACTTGGAAATCAAACCTAAACACAATATTGGTCATTGATGATTTAAAGTTTGTTTTAACTGAGGAGTGTCCTCCAAACTCCAGCTCAAATGCAAACCGAACAGTTCGAGATGCGTATGACAGATGGATAAAGGCAAATGATAAAGCCCGAGTGTACATTCTAGCTAGCATATTTGATGTTTTGGCTAAGAAACACGATGTTATGGGTACTGCTAAAGATATTATGGAATCTCTAAAAGGGATGTTTGGCATTTGATTTAATATTAAATATTAATTAAATAATTTAATTAATCATTTAATGTTGCTTTAATTTGAAATTCATTATTCAAATTAATTGTTGAATTAAAATGAAGAAAGTCAAAATGTTGACTTCATTTAATGGAAAAATCCATGTTAGTGGAATTTTGAGGTGTCAAAATTTGGTTTAACCAAACTTGCATGCTTGCCAAATAAACCCCACAAGTTTGAGTGGAATTTTGAGTGTCAAAATTTGGTTAACTCAAACATGCATGCTTGCCACATAATCCCAAACATTTGAGTGGAATTTTTAAGTGTCAAAATTTGGTGATCTCAAATTTGCATGAACATGCAAACATGACTCTTTAAATAGAGTGATCATGGTACATGGAAGGTTTTATTCTTCTTGGTGAAAAACCTTGAGAAAAACCTTGAGAAAAACCTCTCACAAACACTCTCTTCACATATACAAAATGCCTTCCAAGTTTAGTCACTCACTGGATTCCACAATCTCGTTCTAAGGTCGGAGGATAGTGGAGAAGACACTAGTGGTGGTTCGAAACCGGTTCGTGAGGCAAAAGGAGTTTGAACTACAAGAGGTTAGTATTTAAACTCCTTAAGTTTTAATATTTATGAACATGCTAGTTATTTACTATAATTGATGTTCTAAAAGTCCCCAAGATCCAAATTGCTTCCGCATGTATTATATTAACACCATCACCCTTAACTAAGTACCTCCATGATGCTTCCTCCCAAGAATGATGGCCAGAAAGAGCTAGAGAAACAAGAAGCCCTAGGCTCTCATAGTGTTCTATTCCTATATGAAATGAACAATATAATGTTGAGACAATTAGGAGTTTGCTAGCTTCTCCTTAATTGTGAACGGCCAGAATAAGATCAACATTGGTATTAAATGATGAGATGACATATCAGCCCAAGGGCCTAGATTATAATAAATAATGGTAAAACTTGGACTGGAATCCCATACATATTTTTCTTTTCATTATTATAACGGATAATATATTATGGAGATAATTAGGGACTTGCTAGCTTATCTTTAATCATGGACCCTCAAGACTAGATCAATGTTGGTATTAAATGATGGACTAAATATCAAAGTAGATGTAGTAGTTTAGTGGTAAGGATCCAAGTTGTGGTTGTGTAGACCTAGGCTTGAATCCCAACCATTGAAAGTGAATTGAGCGGAATGAAGTAATTTTTTACACATGCCAGTGAGTTACGAGATAATACAATCATGTTACTATGTATGAAATGATAAAGGGTTTACTAGTTTAAGCTTAACTTTAAAAGTTTGTTGATTTATCCTTAAATCATGAACGGTTAGTCGATAGATGAGCCCTTTGGGGATGTTTACGATGAATGATGGGCTAAAAAACAAGGTGGTTGTAGTTTAGTGGTGAGAATTCCACATTGTGGCTTTGGAGACTTGGACTTGAATCCCATCAACCACATTTATTTTTCTTTATTCTTTAATCATGGACTGAGCCTTGAGTGAATATCAAATTGGCAGAGTTTT